GGTACACACTTTCACAGTAAACCTTGCCGTTAACATTACATACATAGCACATGTGCTTTCGTTCCAAGGTCGCATTTTGCCTCCCCCCACAACATGGCTAGCCCCTCCCCCCTCCCCCCTCTCCGTGGCTAACAGCGGGGAACATTTCTGTTCAGCTACAGGCAAACAGCCCAGCAGGAACAGGCACCTCTGAATGTCCCCTTAAGAAAAGCACCCTATTTCAACCAGGTGACCATGAATGATATCACTCTCTGGAGGATAACAAAGAGATAAAGAACGGATGTTGTTTGAATGCCAGCAAACATACACTGCAATGCTTTGTTCTACAATGATTCCCGAGTACATGCTACTGGCCTGGAGTGGTAAAGTGTCCTACCATGGTGGACGGAATAAGGCTGCCGTCCCCAGAAACCTTTTGCAAAGGCTTTGGGAGTACATCCAGGAGAGCCGCGAATGCTAGGGCAAATTAATAATTAAATATGCTTGCTTTTAAACCATGTATAGTATTTTAAAAGGTACACTCACCAGAGGTCCCTTCTCTGCCTGGCGGGTCCAGGAGGCAGCCTTGGGTGGGTTCGGGGGGTACTGGCTCCAGGTCCAGGGTGAGAAACAGTTCCTGGCTGTCGGGGAAAACCGGTTTCTCTGCTTGCTTGCTGTGAGCTATCTACAACCTCATCGTCATCATTTTCCTCGTCCCCAAAACCTGCTTCCGTGTTGCCTCCATCTCCATTGAAGGAGTCAAACAACACGGCTCGGGTAGTGGTGGCTGAACCCCCTAAAATGGCATGCAGCTCATCATAGAAGCAGCATGTTTTGGGCTCTGACCCAGAGCGGCCGTTCGCCTCTCTGGTTTTCTGGTAGGCTTGCCTCAGCTCCTTAAGTTTCACGCGGCACTGCTTCAGGTCCCTGTTATGGCCTCTGTCCTTCATGCCCTGGGAGATTTTGACAAATGTTTTGGCATTTTGAAAACTGGAACGGAGTTCTGATAGCACAGATTCCTCTCCCCATACAGTGATCAGATCCTGTACCTCCCGTTCGGTCCTTGCTGGAGCTCTTTTGCGATTCCGGGACTCCATCATGGTCACCTCTGCTGATGAGCTCTGCATGGTCACGTCTGCTGATGAGCTCTGCATGGTCACCTGAGGCTTGCCACGCTGGCCAAACAAGAAATTGAGATTCAAAAGTTCACGGGCCTTTTCCTGTCTACCTGGCCAGTGCATCTGACTTGAGAGTGCTGTCCAGAGCGGTCAGAATGGAGCACTCTGGGATAGCTCCCGGAGGCCAATACCGTCTAATTGTGTCCACAGTACCCCAAATTCGACCGGGCAAGGCCAATTTCAGCGCTAATCCCCTTGTCGGGGGTGGAGTAAGGAAATCGATTTTAAGAGTCCTTTAAGTCAAAAAAAAGGGCTTCGTTGTGTGGACGGGTGCAGGGTTAAATCGATTTAACGCTGCTAAATTTGACCTCAACTCCTAGTGTAGACCAAGGCTAAGTGATTCAGATTGCTCTGTATTAGTGACTTGCCCTTTTCATTATTTACCACTTCCTAATTTTTGTGTCATCTGCATACTTTATCAGTGATGACTTTATGTTCTCTTCCAGGTCACTGGTAAAAATGTTAAATAGTGTAGGGCCTAGAACCAATCCATCTGGGACCCCACTAGAAGCACACCCACTCCATGAGGTTTTTGCATTTACAGTTATACTGTGAGACCTATCAGTTAGCCAGTTTTTAATGCATGTAATATATGCCATCTTCATTATGTATTGTTCTAGTTTCTTAATCAAAATATGGTGCTATACCAAGTCAATTTTTTTACATAAGTCTAAGGCTATGTGTAACTTTGGAGTTAGGGGTGTGATTCCCACCTCACGAAGACATACTTATGCTAGCTTTCATTGAGCTACCATACTAAAAATAGTAGCGAAGCCATGTAGCACGGGCAGCAATGAGTGGCAACATGGCTTAGCTGCCCCAAATATGTACCCAGGAGGTCCAGGCAGCTTTGTGCTCAGGGCAGATAGCCTGTATCTCTGCTCACTGTTGCCCATGCTACCATGCTACCACGCTGTTATTCTGCACAGGCTTGATCTCAGATTGACAGGCTTATAATTACTCAGGTCATCCTGTTTACCCTTTTTAAATATTGGTACAACATTAACTTTCTTCCTGCCTTCTGGAACTTCCTCAGTATTTTAAGACTTATTGAAAATCAACATTAATGGTACACTGAGCTCCACAATCTCTTTAAACTCTTAGATGCAACTTAACTTAGTAGCTGCTGTTTATCCTCCTGAGTTACTATTGAAATGTGCAACACAATCATGTTATGATTACATCATCTGTCTTTTTTCCAAATACAGAATAAAAATATTTATTGAACACTTCTGTCTTTCCTACATTGTTATTGACAATTTTACCATTTCCATCCAGTAATGGACCAATACTATTGTTAAGATTCCTGTTATTCCTAATATACCTTATTGTCCTTAACTCTGCTGGCCATAGATTTCTCTTTGAGTCCCTTTGCTTTCCTTATCAATTTTCTACTTCCCCATTCTTCTTTTTGTTATATATTGAATTTTTATAGCTGCTTTCACTCCCTCTCTAAGCCAGGTTCTGTATATTGGTCTCTGGAAACTGTTGGATTATTTTAAGGATAAAATATAAAAATCCATAATCAGCTAGTCCCCTTCACAGCTGCCAAGGGAGACACCTCTTTGTCCTTTTTCAGGAAAAGCGGAGACTCTGAAACAGAAGAAGGCAGCCCTCAATGCACCCCTGGCCTAGGAGCAGGGGCACTGTAATTCCGCACATAGGGAACTGGGACCATTCATACTCTATAATTCAGGGAGGGGGAATGTTTGCTTTGTTTATGGAGGAGATTGGGCTCCTGTTGGCCACCGTGCCCCATGCCAGCCCTCTTACCATGTCCACACAGCAAAGTCTTGCCTATATCCATTAAACTGTACACCTTCCACTCCTTGCACATGAGATGGAAGAGCCATGTCTAATCTCCTACTTCATCACTCCCTAGCAAATGATTCTTCTGTCCATCTTTGCCAATTAAATCTTTCATCCCTGAGCACTGGAGCCAAACAGCAGTGATGTGGGTGGCAGCAGATGAGGTCAGAGCAAAGCTGCAGTTGGATAGGTGGGTCCCTGTGTTTGGACTGGGTAGGTTAGGGAGTGGAGTGTGTCGCTAGGCCTAGAGCACAAGCTTCTCACATGTAGTGTGAAGCACAGAGTGGATGTGGGTGGGGCAAGTAGTGACTCCAGCCTGGAGCAGTTTACATGGTCAGGCTTTCACCGAGCTGCAGAACCTGGCAGTCTGTCCCAGGACCTGCAGGCTACCAGCTCCATGGGAGTGAGCCAGGAATCCCTGAAAGCCCCAGCTCAAATTGGGCTTCTCAGGACTTCCAGGTTCTCTGCCGTAGAACCCAGAGCCAAGCTCTAGTTAGAATTAGGGCTTCCAGGCTTTCTGCTGCAGAGCTGAAAGCCCAGAATTCCTGAGATTCCTGGATTAAACTGAGTCTCCCAGGGCTTCCAGGGCTGTCAGGCTCCCAGTTCCATGGTGGGGACTCTGGAAGTCTGGCAAGGCAGAGCTTCCCCAGAGCCATGGGCCATAGAAATGTGGGTCCCCAGTCCCAGGGCAGTCAACATGGTGGGGCTGCCCCAGAGCTTCCAAGACTAGAAGTCTGGGGTCTCCAGGCCTGGGGCAGTAAGCACAATGGGGCTGCCCCAGGGCCAGAGCCAAGAACACTAGAAGCCTGTGGTATCCAGTCCTGGGGCAGCCTGCATGGCAAGGCTCCCCAGAAGCCCTCCAGGCAAGTAAACCTACCTGGCAGAAAGGTTTCATGGGAGTACTGCCTTTGATTCAGTGAAAGTTAATTAAACACAACTGGCTTTTGTGAGAAATTTTGGGTTTGGTGAACCGGCATTTTTAATTTCATTGTAAAATTTCCAACCAGCTCTAGTCATTGCTGTCCTCTGTGACATACATATATAGTTTTTTTCTTACAGCTATTTATTTAGGAAATTTTAACAGGTTTATAAATCATAATATTTTTAAACAACATGGATTCTTTGGAATGCAAGGTACTTTATGCACTTTATAAATCTGCAATAACAGTAATTACCTGAAAGAGTATGGACTTCTCCCACTAAGAACTTCAACACATTTATATGCTCAGTGGTCACAATTTTAAAATAAAAAAAAAAAGCTTTTAAAAATTAGGATGGTCTTCCCCATTTCCTGGGAGGTCATTCATCCTTCCATGCATCCTCTCCAACCAGAACAATAGGTAGAGTTCATGAGAAAGGTAATTCAGGTATCCAGAGTTGCTGACCTGGCCTGGAAAAACCCTAAAAAAAAATTATTTTGTTGGCTTCTTATGAGTTTGGAGCTGACTCGGTGATCGTGGGTCACTAACGTGCATTGAACAGGGACAAAGAGGACAGGGGGGCTATTTAAAGGAACCACGTGTCCTGGCAGTGCTGGCTTTGGGAATTGTAGCAGGGAAGTGAAGAGCTTGGTGCACTCGTTGCAGTCCGAAACTCAGACGCCTGTTAATCACAGCTATCCTACAGCACTGCCACTATCAGTATGTTGGGTGAGCGCTGAGCTCTTTTGCACTGGGCACTTTCGTAACCAAGGGCCTGATCTGCACAGTGCTCCTGTGCACCCCCTGCTCACATTGACTTCAGAGGGAGGTGAGAACCCTTCACACTGAATAGGAGGTGCCCAGCTCCTCACAGGATCTGGCCTCAGAGCTGGGGAAGCCTTTCCCACCATCACCCCCTGCATTTCTGAGTACAGAGACAAATGAAGCCCTTGCTAGAGGCTGCTCCCAGTATCGCAGAACAATAATGAGCGTTATCTTCCACTTAGCCACTTAGCACAGAAATTTGTGTTTCCCTTTACATCTGTGCATTATTTCTAATGCAGTACCAGCGGGGAGTGATATTCAGTGTATTTCTCATCTCTCCTGAGCCCAGGTCGTTCAGCATCACTCCGACTGTTGAATGGAGAGAGCCGGTGCGATGGGAGAGTTGAGATTTCCCTCCATGGTGCTTGGGGCAGAGTGCTGGATGACCAGTGGGACATGAACGATGCCAGCGTGGTGTGCAGGCAGCTCCAGTGTGGAGTCTCTGAGAAAGCTTTTAACCTCCCTAAGTCTGGGCGAGGAACGGGCCCCGTGGGGCTGAGAAGTGTCCAGTGTGCAGGAAATGAGACTCGTCTGACTCTCTGCAACGTCTCCACATCTGAGACCACTCAGGCACGAATTGCTGAGGATGTCGGTGTTGTTTGCTCAGGTGACTTACCGTGAAATCTTAAAAATATCCTGTTCTTGTTCAATAGGAATATAACCCTCCCCAGGGCCTGCCTCCAGCTCATCTTGTGCTGTGATCTCATCAGAGCTCAAAAAAATATGGATCTGAGGTTCAAACGTTGACACTTTTATAGTAAACATATTGTTTTATAAACAGAAAAAACATAGCCACATTATAGGGGTAAACTGCAGCAACCTCTCTCTCTTTGTCTTGTATTTATTAGAGCTGGTCAAGAACGGTTTTTTATCAAACTTTTTTCTGCCAAAAAATATTTGCAACAGAACATATATTTTCACAAAAGGCTGTTTTTATTGACAATGTTCAGGTTTATATGGAAAAACGTTTTTATTTTTTTGAAAAAAAAAATATTCATTTTTGTCTAATTTTTTTCCAGGAAAATAAAAATTCTGAGCAGTTCTAATATTTTTAGTGACTTCTTAATCTTAAATCATGTGCTGTCCTACTCAGAAAGGAATAATAGGAAAAGAAAGTCATATGTAAGCCAATTTGATCAAGAGGGTCACAAATAGTGGCTCTGTGACTCAGAAGTTAAGTAGGTTTCAGAGTAGCAGCCGTGTTAGTGTGATATAGTTATGTTCAAATCTTATAACTATGTAATTTTGCTTCATTTAAAGGGAAAAATGAAGACTGTTATTGTTATTGATTGTGCATATTACCATTGTAAAAGATAATTCTATTGTTCTCTTTGCTGATATATTTACTTACTTTAAGAGTCCACAGTAAACATAAACATAGGCCCTTCACACTGGTAACTGTCAAGCAACAGATTTGTTTGTATGTACTGTGCACTGTAATGTTACTGCACCAAAACTTTTATTCATGCATATTCCGGTTGCAGGGTAATTACAGTGCATTAAGGGCCCATTCCTCCACCCATTGTGTTAGTGGAGGTGTTGCTGTTGACTTCACCAGGAGCAGAATTGAGCCCTACCTATTTGGGACTTGCATCAAATTGCCTTTCTTTTTTTATTTGCAAAATAAATTGGTACCATGTTTGCTTTTCTCAAATCCCAGGTACCTCCCAGTTCTGTGAGAATTTAAAAGAAAATTAGAGTTTTTGATAAATGTATTAGCTAATCATAAATTCCTCAAACACCCTTGATCCTTATAATCTTAGAGCTGTTTGAAAAAAATCAGTTTTTCCAGTAAGGGCTGATCCTGCAAACCCTTACTCTCACAATTACTGTCGTTCTTACTTATTTGGGGAATTCCATACGAATTACTCAGATGAGGAAAGAATTCACAATTAGGCTCTTACCTTTACATACTTTTTCACAATAGCTTTCTCTAAAAAGTCTTCATAATTTCCTTACTCTACAGATTTTTTTCTTTTCTAAGTTTCTGGTTAAAGACAGATGTTTAAAAGCATTTATGTCTTAGCCATTGTAGCAACCTCACTGATTGGCATGGAAGCTGTTCACTTATCATTTTATTGCACATTAACAGTTAGGATTTATTGCTGCAGGAAGCAGGCGGATCAGGCTGGTGAATGGGGCGGGTCGCTGTGCTGGGAGAGTGGAGATCTATTACAATGGCACCTGGGGGACAGTCTGTGATGATTCCTGGGACCTACTGGACTCCAATGTTGTTTGCAAACAACTGGGATGTGGCCATGCCATAAGTGCAACTCTCACTGCTCATTATGGGCAAGGATCCGGGCAGATCTGGCTGGATGATGTGAACTGCTCTGGGAAGGAATCTGATCTCTGGGAGTGTCCTTCCGGGGGCTGGGGCCAGCACAACTGCAGACACAAACAGGACGCAGGAGTTCTCTGCTCAGGTTTGTTCTGTGAATGCTTTGATGGTTGCCAGGGAATTTAATGCGGGGCTGATGTTTGAGGAGAGTGAGAATGATAGAGCCTCTCCCTCGCTGTCGTTGTCTCTTGTCTCGCTCCTACCTCCCTACAAACCACAGACCCAACTGAAAGTCACCAGTTACTATCAGTTCCCACCCAGGGGTATTGGAGATATCACAGCATTTCCATAGTGGTAGGAGGGTCAGTCACTGCTGTATCTTGGCTATCTGTGTGTGTAACTGTTGGGAAATGGTGACTTTCCCGAAGGGTTCACTGTATTGCTAATGGGCCTGTAGTGTCCAGAAGAGTCTCTGATTCTTGGAGTGATTCTCTCTGGCATTTGTACCTGCAGAATAATGCACAGGATCATTAGCGATCACTGGCATTTCATTCTTCACAGCCAGATAGTTGACCTATGTTCGGTTGACTTACAGCCACTGCAGTAATTACTCAGGTGGTTCATGTCCACACTGCCCTCCTTCTGCCGGTGGTGTGCATCCTCACCAGGAGCACTTCCACTGACTTAAGAGGGGCAGTGGAGGAGGGGGGGCTGAGAGCCTGGGCTCTTAGCTCCATGCACAGCTCCCTGTCAGGAGCCCGGCCACTGGCCCAAGGCTCTCAGCTCCCTGCCCCCTGCCAGTAGCACAACTGCACCCCCACACCCAGGTTCTCAGCTCCCTGCTGTCCACTAGGACCACAGCAGCTACCCAGTGGGGAGCTGGGAGCCTGCGCGAGGGAGCTGTGCTCCTGGCAGGGAGCTGGGAACCTTGGGGCAGCAGGGAGTGGGAAGCTGGGAGCCTCTGGGCAGCACCCAGGCTCCTGGCTGGGAGCAGGGAGCTGGGAGCCCAGGCAACAGCCCAGCTAGGAGCACAGAGCTGTGTGGATGCAGCCCAGCTCCAAAAAGGGAGCTGGGAACTGGGAGTTTCAGGGAAGCACCTGGGCTCCCAGAGGGGAGCCAGGCGCCTTGGTGCAGCCAGGCTCCCCACATGGAGCGGGGAGCTCGAGCAGCAACACAGCTGGAAGCAGGGAGCCAGGATCCTAGGGAGTAACCAGCTCCGAGCGTGGAGGAGGTAGTCTGGGCAGCAATCTGGCAGGGAGCAGGGAGCCTGGGGGCACCTGGGCTCTAGCTGAAGCCCCCATACAACTTTCTTGTCAATTTCATGGTTCTAGCATGGAGCTGTGAAATTGACATGAATCATAGAATCATAGAATATCAGGGTTGGAAGGGACCTCAGGAGGTCATCTAGTCCAACCCCCTTCTCAGAAGCAGGACCCATCCCCAATTAAATCATCCCAGCCAGGGCTTTGTCAAGCCTGACCTTAAAAACTTCTAAGGAAGGAGATTCCACCACCTCCCTAGGCAACGCATTCCAGTGTTTCACCACCCTCCTAGTGAAAAAGTTTTTCCTAATATCCAACCTAAACCTCCCCCACTGCAACTTGAGACCATTACTCCTTGTCCTGTCCTCTTCCACCACTGAGAATAGTCTAGAACCATCCTCTCTGGAACCACCTCTCAGGTAGTTGAAAGCAGCTATCAAATCCCCCCTCATTCTTCTCTTCCTCAGACTAAACAATCCCAGTTCCCTCAGCCTCTCCTCATAAGTCATGTGTTCCAGACCCCTAATCATTTTTGTTGCCCTTCGCTGGACTCTTTCCAATTTATCCACATCCTTCTTGTAGTGTGGGGCCCAAAACTGGACACAGTACTCCAGATGAGGCCTCACCAATGTCGAATAGAGGGGGACGATCATGTCCCTTGATCTGCTCGCTATGCCCCTACTTATACATCCCAAAATGACAGCCAACAGCTGATGTAAGTAACCCTCAGTGTCCACATGGACACTGCATTGCCCTAACTCCATAGACATAAGCCCTACACCTCTCGTGGAGGTGGAGTTATTATGTTGATGTAGCAGGGCACTTACATTGGTGGGAGCAAGGCTATAGTGGGTACACTGACATAATCAGTCAACCTTACGCTGTAGTGTAGACCAAAAACTTTCAGGATCATCAATTTAAATTCCCTTTTTGTGCATTTCCTTCTAGAGTTCACAGATCTGAGGCTGGTGAGCAGCAGTGACTGTGCTGGGCGCCTGGAGGTTTTCTACAATGGGACATGGGGCAGTGTTTGCTCAAATCAGATGACTGGCATCACCCCGACAATTGTATGCAAACAGCTGAACTGTGGAGATGGAGTGCTAACTGCAGGAGAATTTCAACATGGGGAAGGTTCTGGTCTCACGTGGCTGAACCATGTTAAGTGCACTGAGCAGCACAGCTCCCTTTGGCAGTGTCCCTCAGGCCCATGGAAATGGCAGCCATGTGATCACCGAGCAGAAGAGACCCATATTATTTGCAATGATTCTTCAAATGGTAATTATAAAAAAATGTATAAAAGAAGTGGGGACCCATGGTGCAATCCACTAGTAAGACCCCAGAAAAGCCTCTCAATAGAAAGCATAATTTGTGCAGCTCTTTGGCTATTGAGCCTTTTGGGATGAACAATCAGAGATAGGTCCAGGATGTGCAGTTCGGGTCAGGATCAGAATTCCCCACAAGTCTGTGTGTGAGGACGTGTGTGTGAGACAGGGGTGTTGTGGGTGAGTTTCAGTTCCATTTTGAGCCCAACTGTAATAACAATATTTCTCTTCTATGGATTTTTATACTAACGTGGGTGACTTTCAGATGATTAATCTGTGCACATTTGAACCCCTTGTATGAAGTGAGCTGTAGCTCACGAAAGCTTATGCTCAAATAAATTTGTTAGTCTTTAAGGTGCCACAAGTACTCCTTTTCTTTGAACAGACTCAGATATACAAAAACAAACACAGCAGCAGAAGCTATGCCTAAAGATTTCAGCATCCATAGTAAAAACTGAATAGCAAATCCATAAATGATAAAATACACCAATTTTTCGATTTTTCCATTATAAAGTGCTGAAATTAATGGTTTAATATGCAGATAAACTCTATTATCATCTGTGTCATGCACACTACTCAATTTGTTGTCTCAGAATTTTATTTCCATAAGAAGAAAAGGGAAACCATCTCAGACACTGTTTGACAAATGTCCACACACAGAGAGTTTGAGAGTGGATGTTCTCCCATGTAACAAACACATCACCTGCCCCTTACTTTAGACTCTAACTCTCTTTTCCTTTCCCTTTGCAGGTGTGATGAAGACAACAGCTTCACTGTTTAGAAGAGGTAAAATATTCCCCTCCCATCAAGGATTAAATTTACCTGGTGCCAGGATCACAGAGGGATGAGCTGGAACCTCCAGCCTGAGCGAATGAGCTCCTTTATACTGAGTGTGAAATCTAAGGACTGAATGACACATGTGTGAATGACACCCGGGTGGGAGCTGCAGGCTGTGCTGAGCAGGATGATTCCTGTCTATTGGTTCTAGCCACCAGAGCAGGGCCCATGATTTACGGGGGCAGCCTGTGAGCTGCCCCCGTAGCGCACAGACTGTGTCCCAGCCCGTCACCCTGCTGCCCTGGGCCATGCAATGAGTGACTGGGGAGCTCCCTGGGGCCCCCTGACTCTCACAGGATAATCTCTCTCTGTTGCATGTTCATTTCCACCCAGTTCCCCCGCGCCGCCCTCCGACCGACAGTGGGAGAGTCACGGTGCCCGTGGTCATCTGCATTATCCTGGGGGCCCTGCTCTGCCTGGTCTTAATCATTCTGGGCGCGCAGGTGCGAAGTGCCAGGGCACAGCGCAAAGGTGGGTGCTGATTAGTGTCACTGTCTGAAATGCCTCTGCAATAGCAGGGGGAGCTGCAGGTGTGGAGAGGGCCAAGGCTGTGAGAGGACCTAGAGCTGGATCAGCACAGGGTGAGGGGAGGATGTAGCTGAGGAGAGGGAGGACCCTTGGTAAAACTATGAGGTTCCATGTGAAATCTTGTTTTATTTAATATTTTCCTTGATGATCTTGCCCTGGAAATGAACAGCACAGCAGAGACACTTGCACATGACACTGAATTGGGAGGAGTTGAGAGCAGTGATGAGGACAGAGAAATAATTCAAAGAGGATTAAAGAAATTGCAATAGTGGCAGAAAATAACATGTAGAGATTCCATTTGGAAATCTGCAAGAAAATCCATGTGGGGCAAAGTTTCTGAACAGAGAGATTGAGTGGGAGAGAGGGTATGAAGAAGGAGAAATGCTGGAAAAGAGCCTTGGTGATAGTGTCTAAAAGATCAAAACATTGATATTAATCCATGGCACTTAGAATACTTTCCATTGATAAATCACTGCACAACCATTAGTTAATTCCTTCCCACAGGGTCACTGGCCAGTAGATAAGTAAGTACTATTATTTCCACTTTGCAATTGGTGTAAACACCAAGTTGATGGAAGAATTATTTAAGGTGATACAAGGAGGACTAACCAGGAGCAATGGGATGAGAGCATGAGGGAACATTTAGGATGAACACGAGGAAAGACATTATGATAGTAAACCTGTCCATGGAATCGTCTCCAAAGGGACGTTGTGGAATGGGATGTGGCTCCCATCAGCTGGGACACTCACTTGAATATAGCCTGGACAGAGCAGTGGGAATGTGCTGTAAGGCTCAATCTTGCACTGGCCCCAGAGGGAGGGGCTGGATGATCTAATAGGTTTTCCCAGCTCTACTTTCTATGACCCTGGGCAAATCCTGACCTTTGTTTCCAGACTCCAGAAGATCCTCGGACCCTTTCACTGAAGCCATATATGAGGAGATTGATTATAACCTGAATGGAGAGAAGCAGATGTTGGGTCACTCAGGTCCGTGTGTCTCATTCCTAACGGAGCAAATATCTACTGCACTTTCCATCCCGAGGCCCTGACCCAGAGCTAAAATCTCAGCCCTCATCCCTGGGATCCCTGGCACACTGTGGATACAGATTTGTTAGTGATTTACTCCCACATAGCACTCACTCTCCATTGGTGTAAATGACACCACAAGGTGCATCTATCTCCAGGTTTGTTGTGTGATGAACTCATGAAGATGACAGGTTTCAGAGTAACAGCCGTGTTAGTCTGTCTTTGCAAAAAGAAAAGGAGTACTTGTGGCACCTTAGAGACTAACCAATTTATTTGAGCATGAGCTTTCGTGAGCTACAGCTCACTTCATCGGATGCATACCGTGGAAACTGCAGTAGACATTATATACACACAGAGAATGGTCTCTGTGTGTATATAATGTCTACTGCAGTTTCCACGGTATGCATCCGATGAAGTGAGCTGTAGCTCACGAAAGCTCATGCTCAAATAAATTGGTTAGTCTCTAAGGTGCCACAAATACTCCTTTTCTTTTTTCATGAAGATGAGCTTCCTCCCCACTCTTCTCTGCTTGTTCCCATTCTTGGAACAGACATCCTGCAGCCTTGGGCCTTGTCTTCACTGAAAAGAAAAGGTGTGTTCTTAACTTGGGATAACTAACACAAGGTAACACCTCAGTGTAGACAAGACAGTTTGTAGCTTTCACATGAGTTAGCAGGTGGAGTTGGAGATTTTTAAATTCCTTGTTAAAGGTCACACTCAGTCCCCCCCGCACCTCCTAGGTTCAGCATGGATGTTCCCAGCATCTTCCCAGTCTGATTTTATCCTCCCCAAACCCACGTTTACCACAATAAAATGGATATTTCTCAGTGTCACTGTGCATTCAGCATCTTCCCTAAAAGAAGGAGACCAGAAATCTTTCTCCCAGCCCCCAGATGCACCAGCCATTTGTCAACTTAGCTGCTCTCACTTTGATAACATCTCATTTGTTGTCCCTACAATCTCCTATTCAGATGATTCACTGATGAAACTTCGGTATTACACCAGGGACAGCGAGGTGGGAAATGATCCTGCATCAGAACAAGGTAATGGGGAAGGAGAGATACAGAGACCATATCTGGGTGGAGAATTTAATCTCCACAGCATTTTCTGTAAAGGCTGTCATTTCCCCTCAATCAATTTCATGGCCCAGAACAGATTTTATACATTCTGATGGGATTAGATTTAACCAGACTTTCAAAGATTTCTGTCAACCTTTGTGATGGAAACGTGTGATAAAATCATCACCTTTCCTGTATGTGGTTTGTGATGCCCTCCACTCGGGGAGGAGCTTCAGGGAATGCGGTCCAGAACTATTCGCTTGGCATGGAAGTACTGAAAGTCACAGCTGGAGCCTACCAGTAAACAAACCCTGATCTGTACCTGTGGTTTTACCAGCTGGCATACGCAAGTAGCCCAAGTCACAATCTAGTCCATATAAACTAAGAGACTATAAACCATCATTATAGAGTTTGGTTGGAGTCACAAAGGTCAGCTCTGGTGCAGCAGCTACCATCTTCCAGTGTGTCTAGTGTTAGCTCAGCACCAACACAGATCCTGATCCCACTGAAATGCATGAGAAAATTTCACAGAATATCAATCATGCTTTTCCCCTGGATCACCCTGTGACTTTCTCCTACAAACTCCATGGTAAACAGCCCATGCTCCAAGGCAACAGGCACTTAATGGGGAACTAGAAACCTGCTCAGGAACTGGGTGTGTTCAGGGGACACTGAGTGTGCTGTTTGCTGTTACAGAGGGAGTTTCCCCTTGGGGGTCTCAGTTGGATTTCGATAATGTGGAGGACCCTGTGTCAAGTGATGTGCTCCTGACTTCAGACAGCCAAGGTGAGGAGTAAATCTATAGCCTTGAAGCAATGATACCCTTGGAAGAACTAGTAATTAATAACACCTAGCTCCTATGTAGGGCTTTTCGTACATAGACCTCAAAGCACTTTAAAAAGGAGGTTGGTACTATTATCTCCATTTTACAGATGGGAAAACTGAGGCACAGAGTAGTGAAGTGATTTGCCCAAGATCATTTAGCAGGGCAGTGGCAGAACTGAGAGAAGAACCCAGGTTTCTGCATCCCTGTCTAGACCTCCGCCCAATAGATCACAGTGTCTGTCTATACAGGCAAAAATTGTCATTTATGGCTTGATCTTGTGAGGTGCTGAGCATCTTTAGTACTTGTTAGGGGCTTTCCCTTCACCCCTCCCCTGGTTCTTGTCATGCAGACAGAAAGCAGAAGACTGGAACTCCGAAGTACAGGCAATGCAATGTTTATTGGTGTTAATTGAAGCAAGCGTATCCATAGCTCTGATGCCGCAGAGCCTTTTTCCCAGTGTCACTGTTCTCCTTCCTTAGCAGGCATAATTATACCTGTAATGCATGCCCTTGGTCCCACCCCTTACAGTTTATGGTCATGTTCCATTTTGAAGGGTCTTGTTGTGACATGTTCCCCGCACCCCATTTGGGGTGCCGCTTGGAACTGGGGTACAACTGAACCCACCTGACTCACCAGCCTGGATTCCCTTCTCAGTGTACTGCTGAGACAAGCCTGCCAAGCCCATCCTCAGGTTTCAGACTGCACCTTACCAGCACACGTAAAGGTAGGGACACACCCAGCTGCAGCTTTACACACACATGTTGAGATCAGCTCTGCATGGGAAGGCTCAGCTAAGCAATTGCCTAGCAATTGTGTGCACCCCCCTCTGGGGTGTAAACCCAAAATTATACTGCCTTGCAGTTCACTGAGAACTGTACAGCATAAGCTCATGAAATTCGTCCCCTCCCTCAATGTGGAGAGAGATATGCAACAGCTTTTTGCTCCCCAATTATAGTTTCCACACACACTGGTTTTAGACAAAACCAAAAACAAGTTTATTAACTACAAAAGATAGATTTTATATGATTATAAGGGTTAACAAACAGATCAAAGCCGATTACCTAGCCAAAAACAAACAAAAACAAAAACAATAAAAACCACGCAAGCTAAGCTTAATATACTAAAGAAACTGGATATGTGTAACAAATTCTCACCCTAAATGTTGTTTTAGGCAGATTGCAAAGGTTCCTGAAGGCAAGCTGCACTTGCTTGCAGCTTAAATCTCCAGGTATTTCTTTCACAGGCTGGAACTCCCTCAAGCCTGGGTTCAGTCCTTTCTTAGAATCATAGAATACCAGGGTTGGAAGGGACCTCAGGAGGTCATCTAGTCCAACCCCCTGCTCAAAGCAGGACCATCCCCAATTTTTGCCCCAGATCCCAAATGGCCCCCTCAAGGATTGAACTCACAACCCTGGGTTTAGCAGGCCCATACTCAAACCACTGAGCTATCCCTCCCCCCAGGTTCAGTCTTAGGTGTTTACAGCAGTCATCATAGGTGAGGAGACAATGAAGAACCAACCACGATGATATCACTGCCCTGCTGTTAGGGGCCTTATTCCTTCACCCACTTACTTCCTTCTCGCATGAACAGAGAGCAACAATACCCGAAGTCCAAAGGTTCAAACAAATATATATACTCGATGTTTATTGGGGTGAACTTCCATCAAGCATGATTCCAGTTTCCTTCCTTAGTGTCCCCCTTCCCAGCTCTGACACCACAGAGTCTTACCTGTGTCCCTGTTCCCATTCCTGCTCTTAGCTAAACATGATTCCAGTTTCCCCACCCCCATTTCCTGTTCCCATTTCCCCCTTTAGCAAAACATGATTCCAGTTTTCCCACCCCCATTCCCTGTTCCCATTTCCCCCACCCACACACCCACCTACTTCCTGATTGACTGCAGACTATATAGTAAAACTTGAGTTCTGCTTAGCTATACCTTAACCAATCATTTTCCTGAAATTTAACTAACCAATCCTAACACATTGTAGCATGATTATGTAACCAATTATATCCCACCACCTTAATTAGTTTACACCCAGCAAAATTAATTATACAGCAGACAGAAACAATCATAGAACCAGACAGAGATTATGCAGACAAACAATAGGGAAATGGGGACTACAGTGATAGAACAAACACAGAAGTGAGGATTTCACATCCCAGCTATTGATAAGTGAGTTCTTGCCAGACAGGATGCTATCAAACTAAGTTTCCTTTTACATCTTCTAGGCACTTCCCTTTCTCTGGAGGTGATAGGCATTATCAGGACAGGATTGTATTCCTAACAGCCCAATAGCACCTTATTTCAATGTGACTAGGTTAGAATGTGAGGAACCGTTCGCTTCCCAGCTTATGGCTGCCTCTGCTGCTTAGCCAAAGGCCTTAGCCTAAGAACAGGGTCTCAGACTGTCACAGTAAGAGAAGGCTCTTACACTGGCAGACAGTGATTTTGATTGTTTCTTTTATACCTCTATAACTAGCCAAGTGATAAGAATACACCTAAATTGTTAGAGTATAGCCCTTTACAGACAGGACTGAATATCTATATCCTAACACCTGCCTTAACTAGTTTTTGCATATGGCAGGAATCCTTTGTCTCCCAGTTTGATTTCCACCCCCGGCCAGTAGGAAAATACTAGTATTATCATGGTGTCCAATACCAGGTGACTTGGTCACATGTCCCTGCAGTCATAACTCAGAGGCTGTTTGCAGCATCCCCATGAAGACTTCCCAGGAAGGTGGGAGATTAGCATCTTCAAAGACCTATTGTTCTCTCTAATGGTCCATTGACTTGTTCCTAGCTAGCCATCTAGACTGATTGCATTCTGTCTAGTGGGAGTTCCCCATGTGTAAACACAATTTGTAGTACAGATACATAGTCAATATTCCTAACTTCAGATACAGAAATGATACATGCATTCAAGTAGGATAATCATATTCAGTATATCAGTGATATTTCACATACCTTATGTTGCATCAAATACATCATAATTATGCCATACTCATATCATAATAATATTTCTATGAAGAATATGGGGGCATAGTGTCACACTGGGGGCTTTGGTGCCACTTCTTTTGTATCCCATGGGAGGGGTAGGGAGTGAGATTATGTATCAGCCAGCGTCAGGATTTTCTTTGGCTTTTAGTGTTTCTTATACCTTCTCCACCATCCACCTCACTCCTCCCAACTGGTTGCTTGACCTTGCCTTGAGATAGGAGTCGAGGCAGTCTTCAAGTGTACACTCATATATTACACTCCCACCGTACCTAGCAACACTTTAGGTCTATCTCTTATCTTTTCACATTGTACTAAAAGCCCCATCTGGTTGTGGGAAATGCAACACACAGTCTCTTTGTTTCTTGTCCACACATATTAGTAAGGATATAAGAGTATCAAAAATCAAACTCAAAATTCTATTTCAGGCTAACAAACAGGCCTATTTTCTAACAGTACTGATGCAATCAGTGGGAGCTGATCAATGGAGAAAATGCCTTACATGGGGAAACTTAAAGTGCTCAATCTGTTTAGCTTGACTAAAAGAAGATTGAGAGGTGACTTAATAAAGTATCTCCACAGGGAGAAAATACGGATATTAAAGGGCTCTTTAACTGAGTATAAAAAGGCATAGCAAGAATCACTGGCTGGAAGCTGAAGCAAAACAAATTAAAATTAGAAATTAGGTGCAAATTTTTAACAGTATGGGTGATTAATCACTGGAACAAACTACCAAGGGAAATGATAAGTTCCCCATCTCTTGATGTCTTCAAATCAAGAATGAATGCTATGGCAGATATGGCAATTTCCTGCATATCATTGGGCGGCCTTATTGAATTAAGTTTAAATATGTCTGGGGTCCACTGTATTAAATGCAAAGGTTATGTATTACCATGGGCCAGGATTACATATACGCTATTTGAGGGGAGGTGTGATATGAGTTCTGGGAGTTCAAAGGACTATATTGAAAATGTGCCAGACAAGAATGGACTTTTGGGAAAATAAGTGTGAAGTGGATTTCCTGGAGAATCCCTAGGGAGCGGTTAATGCAAATTGCACCATTGCGGGTTATGTAAAAATCCAGTCTTTTGAAGCTACACCCCAAGGAGTAGGTCATTGTGTGCGGATTACCTGTTCCCAGAGATGAGTTAAAAAGCCAGAGCTGTGTAAAGAAACAGCTGTACCACCCAACCTGGGTTCGGGTTCTGAATCTGAGACAGTTGTGAACTTGTAACTCTGGAGAAAACCCATTTGTGGGTTGTGAAGGACTGGCACCTGCCAGAGCCTGAGGTTTGAGTTGGGGTGCTCTCTGGTAAGCTTTTTAGCTTGTGTGTAGGTTCTTTTATTGCTCTATGTTTTCTTTGTAATGCTTTTACCTTAAGAATAAATGTGCTTGCTTGGAAGGAGGTGCATGGCAACTTACAACTGCAGGCAATATACTGGGAATAACTTCTGGAGAGAAAGCAAAGCATACACACTGGCCCTTAGGCAATCTGACTTGCTGGGAATATCACCCTGTAGGCAGAGAACTGTGAAGGCTGGAAAAATCCCGGTCAGAAGGGATGGAGGTATCTTTCCAAGAGAGGAGACAGCTGAGGAGCCGGGAGCCTAGAGTGGGTGCCCTTGGTGGCCCACAGAGGGGGAATACAGGTGCAGTTGTCCTGAACTGTGACAGACATACCTTAGCCAAACACGGGTTATTCTCCTTAATAGAGGGGCAACTAGGTAAAATTCAGTGGCCTGTTATATATACAGGCCGTCAGCCAAGATGAGCTAATGGTCCCTTTTGGCCTTGAACTCTATAAATCTGTGACACTCAGGGTGCTCAGCATGTCATAGAATCTTCTAACTCTTCTCCCACAGAGCATGGCTGTGGGTGCTGGTTTAGGTCAGAGCTGTATGGAGGGGAAATAGTAAAGCATGTGGTACCACACAGGCCAACCAGTGTGACTCTAGAAGAAGTTTATTCAGTGCCTGCCCATGGTGCCCCTGACTCTAGTCACTGCTCCCTGACCTTCACTTTAATGTGCACTAACATTACTCACAAAGTTAGGAGACAAGCTCTCTGAGCACAGCCCTCTGCTCTGTGGTAATGGTCTCCCTCAGCCATCCCTGTCTTTGCTAAGTCCACTGATCTATACTTGAGTTTCACACATGAAAGGGATGTACAGATTTCACACCCACAGGCCCATAGAATCATACAATATCAGGGTTGGAAGGGACCTCAGGAGGTCATCTAGTCCAACCCCCTGCTCAAAGCAGGACCGATCCCCAATTAAATCATCTCAGCCAGAGCTTTGTCAAGCCTGACCTTAAAAACCTCTAAGGAAGGAGATTCCACCACCTTCCTAGGTAACTCATTCCAGTGCTTCACCACCCTCCTAGTGAAAAAGTTTTTCCTATGCTTGGCCTGACTTGGTGGTGTGTGTTCCAGACACTGCAGATCAGGGGTGGGTTATGGGCCAAACTAGTTTAGAGAAATGGAACAAAATGAGCTTTTTCACAATAATGGAAAGTTTAGAAAGTAAGTGATAGAACAAATTAAAGTATCATTTATCTGTATAATTAGTATAACAACAAAGTACCATGGGCAAATCTTCCTCTGACATAAACCCCACTCCTAGCCACCTCTTCCCAAATCTCCCACAACCTTCATTTCAGTTTCTGTTTGAGGCTCCTTTGAGTAATTTACAGTTATATCAGGTCCTTGAAATGTGTCAGACAAACGTTACATGAATGAAATTCCTCTGACACTAAGGTTGGTGGGGGAGGGACTTTTGGTTTCTCATCCCCCTTGGGGTGTCAGTACCTCAGGCTGTTTGTACCTGGTGTATAATTTATTTCTCTATTCAGTGGAAGTTCTCTCCTCATTACCATTAATTCTTGCCTCTTTTTCAGAGGCTCCTGCACTGCCTGGAAATGTCACAGAGAACGGTTATGATGATGTCAAAGAAGTTTCTGACCCCAATGATAACCACGGCCCCGGGCAGTGTGCCTGGGAAGACACTGGAGCCCCAGGAGAGAGTGACAGGAACAGGGATTCACAGACAGGTGAGTGGGGAAATGCACTTTTGCCAATTCTTGCAGTTTATTGCTAGTCTCATGATATCTAGTATTTTTAAAAGTTCAAACTCCAGGAGACATGAGAGTCTCTGCTTTAATTTTTTAAAAAGCAAGTTCTCTAGCCCTGATGGTTGCAGAAAGAAGCTTCAGAACATGAACTGAGTTTCACCTAAAGGCTCAGAAACCAGAGGACAAAAAAAAGACCAAAAAAAGTCTTTTTAATCTACTGATTTTTAAGCCAATCTCATGATATGTTGAGGCCTAACTTCTGTCAGTGACTGAGACATAGGTAGTCGTGTCCAATAGTTAGACCCAGAATCAGGCTCAGTGGTTAGAGCTGGAGTCAGAGCTAAAGTCAGAAATTGGAGCCAAGGGGCAGAACTGGAGTCAGGAATTGGAGCTGAGGGTCAGGACCAGGTAACCTGGAGTAAAGCAAGGCAGGGGTAAGGCTGAGGTAAAGCAGGAACAGAAGTGGGAACAAGGCAGGAGCGATGGCAGCCATGGGTGAATGCTACAAGTAGCTGCTGAACTGCAGCTCTGCTGGACTAATGAGCCACTCTGAGGACTCTTCCAGCCAATAAGGCAGATTATTAGGTTCTCTGGAGATTGGCTCTGCTGCAGGCCCCGCATCCTGTCAACTTCTAATTTTTGAACGCTTGGGGTTGGCAAAGCTGGAAATGTCTGTGTTTCCCAGTGATCCACGGGACCAATGTCTGGATGGGAATATGGATTATGCAGCAAGGAAGTGACCCTGGCCAAATTACTTGTTGTGAGGACAAAGTTACACAGGTGCGTTTGCAGGATCACAGCCTGTGTGTCTTCCCCCAAACAAGGTGTCAGTGCCCAGTATGGTAATGGGAAGAGCAGGGCCCTGCAGTGGGGTTAGTTAGAGGCCTGGCATCAGGTTTGAAATCACTCTCTTCAATATGTAAATGGCTCCATTAGCCTTGTATGAGAGCAACTCACGGTCTGGAGCTGACGGCTGAGCTCCCACTTTGCACCTCAGAGGAAAGTGGGTTAGGATGAAATGTGCATTTCTTTGTTCTTGTTGAGAGAAACATTCAAACTCATATTGTGTGGGCAGTTGAGATCTATGATGTCCCCCTGTTTTTTGGCTTCTTGTCCTTGAATGTCTTGTGGGATAGAAGCTCCAGCCTGCTCCACCCTACCTGGTTTCAGCTGGTGTATGTACCCTTAGGGACTATACCAGCCAACAGGAGTTAGAGCAGCCCCTGCTTGAGCATCAGGGAGGCGTCACCAGCTCACTGACATCTCCACACTACTCCTGCAACAGGCAGGTCTCAGCACAGAATGAATGCACTCCCAGATGTTTTCTTTGTAGGCTATAGAGAGATAATGGATTAAACTTGTCAGGGCCCCAATCACAGGAACAGAAGGGATATGTCACAGCCTATACTGTGAGTATACATGGGTGTAGAATGGTTACATTGACTGCAATGTGGCCCCTTGTTCATTTTCAGATTGGAGTCTGCACTTGCTAAGAAGTGAAGAGGTCTCTGAGGCTGAGAGAGACGCCCTGTCCCTACTTCCTGGAGACCCAGGTTATGATGACGTTGAAGATGGGGTCTCTGGGACATCACTATAAGAATGCTGAGTTCAGATCAAATATCCTGTGAGGACATAAATGTTGTATGATTGGGCTATTCTTCTCTCAAATGCTCTCTGGGCCATCAGAAACAATCCCTACCTGGGAACTAGTTCATACAGCTTTTATATTGCAGTTTTGTCTGCTTGCAAGAAATATGTGTGACTGAGACAGGGTCTGTGGTTTCCCCTGTAATTCCCAATTGATCAGACTGTCTGGAACTGTCCTGCTTTTTTATTCCTGCTGTTTTATTTGTAACATGAAATATTATTTCTTCCTTGTGAATTTTTACTTTCTTAGTAAACTGTTTTTGAAAGACTGTTCCAGGGCTGATGCTTCTCCAATGAGGTGTGTTGGGCAGCTCCCTGGAGACCATTGGGGGAAAAATTGAGATTGAACCACCAAAAAATTATAATGGTAAAATGTCACCCCTCGGGTATCTCAGGTTGTTGGACAGGGTGTTAGATTGAGAATGAATATTCTGCCAGGTGTGTGATAATAGTGAGATACCTAGCAACAGAATATTCCTCACTCCAAAGATGGCCCTAACCCCCAGTCCAGACTTTCCTTTGAAATTCTGGAGGATAAATAGGATGCTATTTACAGGTATCTTAATGCCCATACACACACAATCAGATAGCTGTGAAAATATGCCCCTATCCTTTCCTCTTCTCTTCTATATAAATTCATGTGCCATGCCCATCATTCTGGCATCAGAGCACCTTCCAATGATTTACTTTCAGTGTACATGTGTACTTTTATTCCTCCCCAGAGCAAAAACACATGGATTTTTTATGGTGGGTCATGGGTGGTTATCGGTGAGTTTATTTTATGATGTGATATGGGCTTATATTAGCAAAAGCAGACTGAGGAACCCCGCAAGTGGAACAGAAAGAGGTTTCAGGTGATTTTTTAGATCTTGTGGGATTTTGTTCTAGAGTCTTTGATCAGCCCCCAAGAAAACTGTCTCCTGTACAAATGAGTTTTCCCCTTGCAGGAGACAGCTCCTTTGTGTCTAAGGCAGTGGTTCCCAAACTTGTTCCGCCACTTGTGCAGGGAAAGCCCCTGCCAGGCCGGGCCAGTTTGTTTACCTGCCTTGTCCGCAGGTTCGGCTGATCACGGCTCCCAGTGGCTGCAGTTCGCTGCTTCAGGACAATGGGAGCTGTGGGAAGCAGCACAGGCCGAGGGACGTACTGGCCGGCGCTTCCAGCAGCCCCCATTGGCCTGGAGCAGCGAACTGCGGCCAGTGGGAGCCGCGATTGGCCGAGCCTGTGGACGCTGTAAACAAACTGGCCCGGCCCAGCAGGGGCTTTCCCTGCACAAGCGGTGGAACAAGTTTGGGAACCACTGGTCTAAGGAATAAAGCTGATGGGCACAGTCCTGGAATGAGTGGGAATCTCTTAAGTGTCCCAGGCCCAAATCATGAAGTTCCTTGAATGACTGAGACATTAAATTAGACATAGTGTTCTGTGGGAGGCCAGTGTAGTGAGCCCAGGACAGGCTTGGTGTGCCCTGGTGACCTGGGTTGCCAGGAGGTGCTCTGTTGCTTTCTATAGCAGTGGTTGTTTCCTCAGGACTGGGCACTACATACCCAGGCAGAGTCCAATTAACCATTGGAACAACTCACCTAGGAAAATGGTGGATTCTCCATCACTTGCAGTATTGAGATCATGACTGGATATTAGAGCTGTTCAAAAAACAGAATTCCCATCGTACCGGAAATACCAACATTTCAAAATTTTGTTTAATCTCAAATCATTCATAGTGGAATTCATAGTCATTCATAATAAGACTGGATAATCATTGGGCCAAGGACAATAGCAGATGACTCTATAGCTTGGTGGCTAGGATACTCACTTAAGATGTGGGAGACCCGACGTCAAGTCCCTACTGCAATAGCTATTTATAAATAGAACAGCTTTGGCATGTGAAAGTTTCACATCAGAATAGCCCAGTTGCCAGAGCACTTGTCTGCAATGTGAGATACCCAAGTTCAAATGTCCTCTCCACATCAGGCAGTTTGGAGATTTGAACCTGAGTCTCACAAAAGCCAGGTGAGGGATTTAACCACTGGGTTGGTGCCTATGTCCCATAGCTCTTTTGTGAATCTACTCGTCTATTGCTTTTTTGAAAATATCCTAAATTGAAACATAAAATTTTGAGTTAGGTTGAATGAACCTAAGCAGAACTGGACAGGACACAGCATTCTAGTGCAGTGTTACCAGTGCTGTGTACACAGGCAAAACTTCTCCCTACTTCTACATGATATTTCCCTTTTTATGCATTAAAGAATCACATTAGCCCTTTCTGCCACAGCGCTGAGAGCTCACGTTGAGGTGCATATCTATGATGACTTTCTCTGAGACATTGCTTTCCAAGACAGAGTCTTCCATCTTGTAGGTATAACCTGCATTCTTTGTTTCCAGGTGTACTACTTTGAATTTGTCTATATTAAAATGTGTGTTGTTGGACTGCGACCATTTTACCAGGAGGATCTCTGTAACAATGACCAGTCCTCCTCATTGTTTATTACCCCACCGATCTCTGTGTCATCTTCAAACTTTACCACAAAAGATTTCATATGATCATTGATGATACTATTGAATAGCATTGGATCAAGAATTGATCTCTAGGGGACCCTCCACTAAAAACAGCCTCACTCACTTATATCTCCCCATTAACAACTAGACTTTGTGATCTGTCAATGAGCCAGTTTTTAATCTATCTAATGCATGCCCTCTTCATTCCATATAATGCAACTTTTAAAATCAAAATATATGTGGTACTAAGGCAAATGCCTTGGAGAAATGGAAGTTGAGTATATCAACACAGTTACCTTCATCTGCCAGATTTGTAATCCTGTCAAAAAAAGACAACAGGTCTGCTTGATAAGACGTATGTTCCATGGAACCAGGCCAACTGATATTATAGCAGAGCACCAAAGACAAGCTTTTTGTTTAAAGCTCAACTCTTCTATAGGTATGTCTACACAGCAATGTAAGCCTAGGGTTAGTGGGACTTGAGTCAGCTAACTCATGTCATGGGCCCCTGGGCTTGAGCATCTACATTGCATTTTAATCCTAGGTTAAGGATTTTCTGACCCATACTCAAACCTCTGCACAGACCTGAGTCAAAGTAAACATATCACAAAGTGCCTAGCTCCCCACTCCCCACAGGTGTCAACACTCTAGCCCTGTGAATGGGGTGCACTGTGGGAAAATTCCACTGCCCATCCTGTTTCCTAACTGTGAGTGTGCTATTGATGACACTCAGGTGCCCATAAGGAGCACAAGTACATAAACTGTATAATTAGCTCTTTTGGTGGCTGTTTCAGTAGAATGACTGCAATTTGGGAAGGCTTTATACTCTAATCTGAGAACTGGACTCCCCACCTGTAGGCTGAGTCACATTGGCAGGACAATGCCCATGTGCACCTGCTCTGAGTTATTAGCCAATATAAACTTATTAGCCAAATATTTTGGTTCTCCAGTTAGGTGTGCTGCAAGCATTTCTAAGGCTCATGTGCAAAATGGATTACATTGTACATGTGCAGAGACAGAGGCTAAGGGGGTTGAAAGCTAGCTATGCTTACAGGTACTGAATAGCTCAAGGGGCCTGTTATAGTAATTGAAATTAAGCGGCACACAGGTGCTGTAAAGTCAAATTCAGCTACAGGCAGGCATCTGAAATAAAGAAAGAGGTGTCTTACTACAATCTGCATCTGTCAAAATATTTTTATTTATTATATTGGGGAGATGTCACCTGAGCACAGCACAATATTCAGCAGGCACTGAAAGCATTTTTTAAAAAAGAAAATAAATTACATATGCAAATACTCACTGGGTGGGAAGGATGATTAGGGTTGGAAGAGTACATGGAAATAGGGAGAGAGGTGTTTGGACTGCAATGAGGGTAGGGGATAAATGGGAGTGGGTGGGTAGGAAAGGGGTTTGGGTGAAGTGATAGGGAAGGACTACATATTGAGAGAAGGGAAGGGGGGACACCAGGAAGGGGTCATGTGTGTGAGTGGCAAGGGGACTGGGAGAGAACAGGGGTAGGGGGCCTGTCAGCCCCACATTCTCCCCTCCCCTGTGTGTGCCATGATCAGCAGGGTGTTGCCTCTCTTGTGACCCAGATTCTGTGTGGGGGGGGTTCTCTTTCTGCAGGTGCCTGAGCCTCTCAACCTACCCCACTCACCAGGATCTGGGGGCCCTTGCCCCTTTGGGTATCTGAGCCTCTCTCCCTGACCCACCATGTGAGCTGGGATCTGCGGGGGGGGAGCTTGTCAGAGCTCCTCTCCGTGCCAGCATCTGGGGAAGCTCTGCCCCTCTGGGTGTGAAGCTGAGAACAAGCATAGTAGACTCGTACACCAGGAACACACTGCTGATACTGGAGTGAGGCGCTGAGAAAGGGCATGCTTGATCATGGTAGCAGTGGAGATGTGGAGTGTGGGAACACTTCCTGACATGAATGGAGCAGTTCACGTCTCAGCAGTGTACTATTGTTTTAGGCTGTATTTACTTCTATGGGGAGTTCCTACTCCGTTGAAAACATCTCACTGAGATGAATGGACCACGAGGTTGCATGGGCATGTACCTTAGCTCTGTATTTCCTGGTTTTCACAAGTATGACTTTTGCTGAACTTGATGTTCTGGCAGGGTGTGAGTAGTCACCGACCAACCTTAACTCTGCATTAACAATTTTTTTTGCCGTTTAATTAATTATATTTTTAGTCTCTAACTCTTTGTTAGTAGAGTCGTGAATTAATTGTACCATTATTTTACCCCGGATTCCTGTCAGGCTAACTGGTCTATAGTTCCCTGGGTCATCCCTTTTACCTTTTATAAATATTGGAACTACATGGACAGTTCTCCATTCATTTGGAATTTCCCCAGTTTTCCAAGATTTGATCAAAATTAACTCATGTCCTCATTAGCCATGTAATGCCCTTCATGGTACAGGAGAGACGGGAATCAATAGCACTGGCTACACATGAGATCCTCTATTCACACTGATGGGAATGTACAGGACCCTGGGGTTCTCTCCAACTGCCTGTTCTGCCTAGAGTTACCACACAGGGTAGCCCTAGATACTGACCTGGACTAAGAGTCCTGGATTGGATCGCTACCTACACTACTGTATGAGCAATGGTCACTCATAATCTAATCAGTAAGCGTTAAGAACAAGTTCTAAGAGGGTGAACAGGAAGCCCTACAAGACTCTGCTGCCACTGATGG